ACTTATAATCTCAGAATTTAGGAGGGTAAAAGAGGAGGCTCAGGAATTGAGGCCAATCTCAACTACACAGGAGACCCTGGCTCTCCACCCCTGGAGAGAGAGAGTTTAATTCTTCAAATTCAAATAAGATAGTATACAGTGCCTAAACACATAGCAACTCCGGTATATATATAAATATAAGGTCTACCAGTGATGAGGGATATTTTCAACAGTCAAATTAACATGATGATGCTAACCAGACTAGTTAATGCAGTGCTAAATGTAAACAACTTATCAAAACAAATTTATAGAAAGAAAAAACAAAACTGCAAACGATAAAACAAGCACACAGCATTCTGATTAACAATCAGGTAGGGTCATCTTTTGAAAATCTAAAAATCTTCCAACTCTAAAACTGAGTCAACTCAACCAAAGAGTAAGTATGAGCCAAACCTTGTAAGCACTATGGAATGTCAATATTACTATCATTCACAGATCAACAGGTTGTGGGAGGGGGGAAGCTTACATGAAGAAAATCCTGTTTCTATACTCATTAGCATCCCTAAGTCAAGACAACTGTGCCCTATTCAGAGACTGTATTCTAAAATAGAGGCTGATTTTTTTTTAATGTCATAGGGGCTCACAAATTAGGGTATTCTAACACAAGCCCCAAAAGTCAACCCTTTAAATCGAGGGCACATATTAACGTAGCTACTGTCTATGCCTACAGCAGCAAGCAGAGCTGACACTAAAAACCCCACTTTACACCTCCTCTGTATTACAGGACACTTCCCTACACTGCCTAGTTTACTGGGCTCTAACAATTGATCATCCTTCTCCAGTCGAACACTATACAAGATCTCCTTAAAACCTATTTCCTTCTTCTAGGTAAAAACTAATGTTTGTTCCCAAACTAATCAACAACCCACTGCCACCATGAAATTACCAACATGAACTCTATTTTCGCTATCAACTTTTACAGCTGCAGAATCCCATTGGGTTTTGTCTAGATAAAAAGACCTCTAGACCTACAAATACTCCTTCAGCACTTCCCACAAGGAAGTCCTGACAGTAAAATGCTTCTATCACCTCCCACTTCCAGGTGTCTTGGAAGTGAAATCGTTAAGCACCATCTACATCCCCCCTTAATGGCTCATAACACAACATACAAATTCAATCTTAGATCTATCTCATATTAACGTAAAAGGAGGTAACAGGGCTAAGAACTGTGTCTTAGAACCAAACATCTGGAGAGTAGAGCTAGGCAAACTGTGGATTAGATAGCATACCATGTATCACACTGCATTCCATGTAGATCAGAAAACTTGCCTTACAGCACTGGGAATGTACTGAAATTCTCAGTCTGTAAGTGGCACTCAATCTCAACATAATCTCGTCTCCCTCAGAACCAACCACCCTGACTCACCTACCAGTAACAGGATTTTCTTTCTTCTGCATCACAGTACAGAAATGTGTATGTATCCAAAGAAATTGGTACGTACCTCTCCTTTTTAATAAATACTGGTAGAACATCAGCTGTGAGATTTAATGATGCACTGAGAACCGGTGTCTGAGCAATCTAAGTTTTATTCCTCCACCTTTCCCCTCAGCAACCCTTCAATGAACAACATCTTGCAGTATTCTGATCAACCCAGACATTTAATCTCCTAAAACTGGTGGCTTTCTTTCACCAATCAGTGCCATTCACTGATTATCACGTCCACTTCTCTTGCATGAAAAGTGAATTTATCAATTTTTTTTTTCACCATCCTTAGAAAGTAGGTCTCTAAACTAGTCTCAGATCCCAGGATCAGAACTTACAAAGAGATTAGCTCCTAAACCTGGAGTAAAAAAAAAAAAAAAAAAAAAAAACACACGGGAGAAACCCGGGCTACTTGTTTCCACAGCCGGAGGACAGCAGATGCAATACGTATTTAAAAGGTAAATCTTGGGTCCCCGAGAACAA